TAATTAGTTATATTAATTAATATTAAAATATAAAAAATATCATTAATTTTATTATCAATCTTGTTTCACATAAATCATTTTAGTTAACCAATTATTTATATAAAAATTAATTTTTATTTTTTAATATTAAAAAATATAATAATTACATCCTTAAAAGAAACTCATTCATATTTGATGGTATTTTTTTATCGATCATGGGTTAAATAATGAGAATTAACTCTCTCAGATCTTTTAATTTATTATGCTCATATACCATATCACTCTAATTTATAACCTTTTACTTATACTAAAATAAATTTATTATTAAATTATTTAAGTTATTAATAATATTTAATAGTTAAAACTTATTATTATTTATAATTCAAATGTTGTTATTTATTTAATTAAAAAAATTGATATCAACTATTTCTTTACTGCTAAACCAAATAGGGCACATTTGCATTAACTATATAGTGTAGCTCTATTGAGTCTAAATGGTTAAAAATTTAGGAATTTAAGTTAGAAATTTTAGAGTAAATGTGTAGATATGCCATTTTATTATTTTATTATTTAAAAATATAATTTTTTTAGTTTTTAAATTAGACGGTCACCATTTAATTAAAAAAAAAAAACAAGAATATGAATTTTGTAGGTTTTCTATTTAAGAATTTAGTGAGTTTAATGCATCCCTAAAACACATCATCATCACTATCATCCACTAAATTCTTAAATAGAAAAAAATTATAAAATTTTGTATCATGATAATTTAGATTATAAATAACAATTTTTATTTAGAAATTAAAAAAAATCATATCTTTAAATAAATAAAGACTAAATTTTATGTCTTTGGGGGTGTTTGATTTAAGATTTTGTGAACAATTATCAATTGTTGACTCTAATCAAATAAATTATAAATAGCAACAATTATTAATCATCTTATATCAATTATTACTTATGAATTACATTTAAATAATTAATTCAAACACACCTTTTATTTGCACTTTTACTCTTAAAGAGCAAAAATGTAGGGTGCTTTTGTGACCACAATTGGGAATTTTTTCATGTAAACACACAGTACTTTTAAATATATGTATGTTTGGTAATTTTTTTCAAACTATTTTTTTTTAATTATAAAAAGTCACACTAGATTTATAGTAATTATATATATAAACCATAAGTCTTGTTTTGGAGTTTTCTAGTTGTAACTTTTATAGAGAGCATCTAATATTTAATATAATTACAAAATTATCTATTCAAATTCAATTTTATACAATTTAACTACATCATAATTTATAATATTTTAATAATGAAAACAAATTTAAAAACCTAAATTATTAAAAAATAATAAATATGATATATTTTAATAATTATATATCTTACAATATTTTTTAACTTTTAATTAATAATTAATAAAACCTATCATATTTTATTTATAATACTTTAAAAAATAAACAATCAAATACTAAAATAACTTTTAATTATAATTACAATACAACACAATTTAATATAACCACAATCATAACCATAATCACAATATTTCATAATAATTTAAAACGTGCCTATAGATAAAATATTAACTTTCCCTTTATATTCAAAATCTCATGTTCAAATTTCAAAACTAATGATAATAAGTCAAGAAAAAGAAAAAGTCATCTTATTATATATATCTATATATATAAGTGTAACTTTATGATTGGTAGCTAAACTCCATAGGCCATATCTTCGCCATTCCATTTGTCATTCAAGATCTTGAAATATCAACCTCTCAAAAACTCAGTTTAATCATGTGCAGTAGATGTAGATATAAAGGGCTCATTATTCAGTTAATTTGGCAAGAGTGGGATTGATGTTTCTAGCAATAATATGTGTGTACTGATTTTCTAGTTTCCTAACTCCTTGACCTTTTGTCATTACTATTTTGGTTTTTGTTGTTATTAGGTGTATTTTTTGGCTCAAGAATTGAGGGGGAGTGGTGGGGAAGAAGATGCAGAGGGGAGGGAAGGAGGGAGAGAGGGGGTAATGCCAAAATTGTACGTAGTGTGTAATTTAAACTGAAAAGGCTTGTGATTTGGGGTTTTGGGTACAGGCAGGAATCCATGAAAGGAAAAAACAGTTTTATGATTTTATCTCCTAGATTTTGGCAAAATTACGAGTCCATGCTGTTTACCCAATAACCACCTCGATGGAATGAAATGAAATGAAATGAAAATAAAGTACAGCAGAAAAGGGCAGGAGAACATGGTAGTAATTTTCCCTGTTTTTCCTTTATTTGGAAAAACTTCATACAGTAATTAAACAAAGCAATCATGAGATCAAATGGCTATTACATGCATTTTTGTTAAAAAAATATTAAATTTGTTTTCCGTCATTATGGGCAATAAAGAAAGAAAGGTAATTACACTTGGAAGTGCATCTCTTCAAAGAATATAGGACAATATTCAATCTTGACTTTAAAGGTTTTTTTTTTTTTTTTTTGTTATATTGAAAGATTAATTATTTGATAATATAAACATTTTATTTTTTAATTTTAACCTCAAGACATTAAAAGAGTATGTATTTTAATTT